TGTGCGGGGGCGCGCGGACGTGCGGGCGTCGCGAGGGTGTTCACCCTTCAGGCTTGTACACCTTTTGGTCTTCTGGACCAGGAAAAATGGCTTCCCGATATGGAGTCGCGGTTGGCGTTGTTGGAGATACCTCTTGTTTGTCCGTGGACGTGTGTGGAAGCTGTTTAGTAGTATCGATGGCTTCTCGGCTGGTGCACAAGGGATTTGGAGGACGATGCTCAGGCGATCGCTTTAGCCAAGGGACGAAAAAAAAAAAACTTCAAGCGCTTGTAGAGTCTTTTTGGTTTTCTTATCTCAGTGATCTTTTGGTGTAGATTTTTGTAGATACGGAAGCCGACCTGGAGGGCTAATTAAGCTGCACGTATATGGGAAGAAAGATTTGGCATCACGTAGTACAGAGAATAACTGCCTTTCATCTCTTATGTGCCAGCTGGTGTGTCCCACGAGTCACTGACATTTTATTTTTGCTAGACACTAACAGGCAGGTATTGTTAGCCCCCTTTTAGGAATGAGTAAACCGAAGTAGCCAGGTTAAATGCCTGCTTCACGTTACACAGTTAAGTGGTGGTGCTGGCGTTTAGGCCTCACACTTCTATTGTGACAGGCTCTCATTGGCTCCTGTACAAAGGACCGCGTGGGAACATATCTGTTCAGGGTTCTGGGGCAGCATTAGGCCACAGACTTGGGCTTTTTCTGGAGATCCTGATGTTCTAGTTGAAAGAACTGGAAATACATGTGGATATAATAAATACATAAAGACGACTGGGGTGTATTCAGGGGTAGAGTGCTTGCCTAGCATGTGTAAGGCAGTGGATTGGATCTCCAGTAATGCTAAACAGATAGATAAGTAAATACCATTAAAATTGTGTAGCCTGCGTACTTTATGCTTACATTAAAATTACCTTATTGTTTTGCCTTTTTTCCTTTGGAAAGTGGGTGTCACTGTGTTCCCCAGTCCAGTGTCCAGATCCTTCTGCCTCAGCCTCACTAGTAGGTGGGACTACAGGTGTGCGCCTAGCTATGTGACTTAACAGTTCTGTTTTATCTGCCTGCTTCAGAAACCTTTCAGAGGTGTACCCAGTGCTGGATAAAAGGAATTTAGAGGAAAGGCTTTTTTTCAAAGCTTCGGTTAGAAAAGCACGGAGGTTGGTGATCTCAACCCCCAGAAAAGTAGTAGAGGGCAGAAAGAAGCCCAGTTGGGGTTGTATTTACTACTTCCCTCGAAAGTGTGGCCAGAAATCATGTGGGCTTTCGTTGTTATCTGAGACAAGATCTTGCTAGGTAGCCCAGACTGGCCTTGAACTAGAGGTGATTCTCCCTCCTCAGCCTCTGGAGTGCTGCGATTACAGGCATGTGCCACCATGCCTGGCTCATACATAGTATTTTTAAAGCAGGAGATTGTGATAATTTATAGTTCACTGTTTTAAAATGTATATTTAATTG